TTTTTTTTTTTAGAGACAAGATCTTGCTCCTGTTGCCCAGGCTGGTCTCAAACTCCTGGCCTCAAGTGATCCTCTGCTTCAGCTTCCCAAATAGCTTGGATTACAGGTGTGAGCCACTGCGCTCAGCTAAGACACAATATTATATAATATATTTATTCTAGTTGTAATTCTATCAAGATTATTTTAGACTCAAGTGATTCCAAAAGTTACCTGGAATAATAAATAGAATAATTAAGGTAATTTTTTTTTTTTAATTACAGTGGCTCAATATGCTTGTAATCCCAGCCTGGGCAACATGGCAAGACCCTATATCTATAAAAATACTTAAATGGTGGTGCACGCCTGTGGTCCCATCTACTTTGGGAAGTTGGGGTGGGAGGATTGCTTAACCCTGAGGCGGCAGAGGTTGCAGTGAGCTGAGATTGACCAGTATACTCCATCCTGGGTGACAGAGTAAGACTCTGTCTCCAAAAAGAAAAAAAAAAAAAAGAAATTGTTCTACCAGATGCTAAAATGTAATATTAAGATAAACTGTGTACTGACCATAAAATTGATCAAAAAACAAAAAGGGGAAGAGTTAGGAGTTGCAAATTTAAACTTAAGAAGTCAAACATCTAATAAAATTAAAAGGCAAAAGTAAAAATGAGAAGTATTTGTAACATGACCGAATCCTTCCTTAACTTAAATCTCATGTAGCAAGAGGCCAGCAGCCAGAAGGAAAAAAATGAGCAAAGCATATGAGGAAACCATTCACATAAACACAGTCAGTACATGTGGAGAATGTTCATCCTCACTATTAAAAATGCCAAATCTAACTTGAAAGGCGGAAAAAATTGCAAATATTTAAAAAGGATAATACCCAATTTTGGCATCAGCACGTGCTCGAATGGCCTTTCCCTGCTGGTGCAAGTATAAGCTAGTACACTACCTTTCTGTGAACTGGCTTGGTGATTTGTACCAGTATGATTGGGTAGAATGGGAAAAATATGTTGCTGACAGTAGCTAATGGAAATATAATTACAGTAGGAAAAACTTTTCTTTTCCTATATAAAGTGATACAAGAAATGTATAAAGCTGTGGATCAGCCTGCAAGTGAACCACTGTGTCTCAATTAGATCCAAGTAGTATTATTTGTCTTTGGTTAATACCCATCTCTCACCATGCTGTGCTCCTTGTGTATAAATAATATTTCTGGCTGGGTGCAGTGGCTCACACCTATAATCCCAGCACTTTGGGAGGCCAAAGTGGAAGGATTACTTGAATCCAGGAGTTTGAGATGAGCTTGGACAACACAGTAAGCACGTTGTCTCTACAAATAAAAAATAAATTTAAAAATTAGCCAGGAGTGGTGACACACTCCTATACTCCCAGCTATTTGAGAGGCTGAGGTGGGAGGACCACTTGCATCAGGAGTTCAGGGCTGCAGTGAACTGTGCTTGTGCCACTGCACTCCAGCCTGGGTGACAGAATGAGATCTTGTCTTAAAAAAAAAAAAAAAAGAAAAGAAAAAACAAACTATCTCTATGGCAGATGAGACTAGAATTACTGTTATCCTACAGAAAGAAACGAACTGAAAAAGAAATTGGTTTTCTCAGTTTGTTCTCTCTGCTTTAATGTCTACACTATGTGACTTAAAACAGCCCTCATCAAGTATGTCATGTGTAGAAAAAAAAAATTCCATGAGAAACTACATATTTGAAGTTATTAAGGAACTTTTCTTTACTCTCTTTAGCAGTGATGGGAAGTCCATCTTTCTTGTGTGACTTTGTCCTTTTTGCTTCCTTTCCTTTGTAGTATGTGCCAAGTGCTCTCTGTTGCCCCAGCAGAGCCAGTATCCTGACAGGAAAGTATCCACATAATCATCACGTTGTGAACAACACTCTAGAGGGGAACTGCAGTAGTAAGTCCTGGCAGAAGATCCAGGAACCAAACACTTTCCCAGCAATTCTCAGATCAATGTGTGGTTACCAAACCTTTTTTGCAGGGAAATATTTAAATGAGGTATGTTGAATGATCTCTTTCTTTTTTTTATAATAGCATTGAAAATGTGACTATAATTCATGTTAATTTTATTAGTAACAATATTAAAGGATTTTTTGATGTACTGTACATTGTTTTCTGTGAATCTGCCCATTAAACAAGAATAAGGAGTATGTTCATGTAAGTATACCTGTACATGTTTACTTGATTTGGTTCCTTGTTTTTTCTTTCAGTAGTCCCAGGAGCATGTATTTTAAAATTGTCCTAAGGCTGCTGTTGTCTGATGCATCTTCCTTCCCTTTTTCCTCAGGAATTCTGCTTGTCATGTGGCTGTCATGGTATCTTTGTTTGCATTTCCCCATTATCAGCATCTAAATGAAGACATTTTTCCTCTTAGAATCTTTCCTCAGATTTCTTAGAATCTTTTCTGAATTATAACAACTTAATGCTTAACTCATGTGTAATGTGAAAAGTGGCAACTAAATGTGGAGAGATTAGTGATAAAGAGAAAGTACCCAGAGTTGGGATATGAAGGTCATTAAAGTATATGACCAGCAGCTGGTGGGCCAGCTTCCTAGACCTGGATGGAGAGATACCTTGTGGTGAACTGTTGAGGCCAGATTCCATGGGCCCACCTTCACACATTGGCCTTAGCTTTTACCCAAAGTCCAAATTTAAAGGGAATAGTATGTTTGAGACTGTTTGGGGTTAGCTCTTAAAGTTAAACTGAGGGCTCAAGACAAAGAGAAGATGTACTTATACTCTTTATCTGTAGTTACTAGAGATCTTGATATCTGAATTTTCTGTTAATTCTCCCCTCCCCCAAGTAATTGCGAGAATCTGCAACCTTGTAAGTATGCAGGCAGTTGAGTCAGTTTGAAAAGGATCATGAGAAACAGGAACTGAGGGTACTGGCTCATTTGGTTGGGGCTATGGGTCATAAAGAGAACTTACACTGCTTTTCGTATTGAAGGTCATCTGATGTGTATATAAAATTAGGAGAGACTGTTAAAGTAGAAAGATTTCGTTTTCAGGGATTAAGTTCTGCCTTAAGTGGGTGGCATTAAACCTTGTAAGGATAAAGTGGGATGATTCTGTGGTTTCTTTATTTTATTCATCTCATCAGATAAATGGAACTGTAAAAGTGGGTTTCATTTGCAGGACAACTGAAATACAGATTATCCCTTATCCAAAATGCTTGGGACCAGAAGTGTTTTGGATTTTGAAATATTTGCATGATACTTACTGGTTGAGCAGTCCAAATCCAAAAATCCGAAGTGCTCCAGTGAACATTTCCTTTGAGTATCATGTTGGCACCCAAAAAGTTTTAGATTTTCAGATTTGGGATATTACAATAAATTGATAGCTCATAGTCTGATTATTTGGGCTGCTTAGGGTCAGTTGGACTATTCAGTCTGTGCTGTCAGCCGCTCAGCATTCATCCCATGAATAGGCTATGTGGGGTAGGCTATGTGGACTTTTTCTGTAGTGGGTCAGATAGTAAACATTTCGGGCATTGCAGGCCGTATGTCTCTGTTGCTACTATTCAGCTCCGGCATTATAGCGTGAAAGCCGTCACAGACACTGTGTAAATGAATGTGGCTGTGATAAAATAAAACTCTTTATCATTATTGAAATTTGAATTTTATATAATTGTCACATTTCACAAATATTATTTTGATTAACTTTTGTATTTTTAAATTGTTAAATTCTTAGCGTGCTGTCCATAAAAAAGTCATCAGGCCAGATTTGACTCACTGGCTGTAGTCTGCCAACTCCTGCTTTAGACATTCCTAGGATTATTAGTTTATTTTGGACTTGTGTCTATATTTGGGGAAATTAAGCACCTACTATGTTTCAGGCATTGGTCTAAAAAGATTCTAGGCCAAGTGTGGTGGCTAACACCTGTAATCCCAGCACTTTGGGAGGCCGAAGCGAGTGGATCACCTGAGGTCGGGAGTTCAAGAGCATCCTGACCAACACGGAGAAACCCTGTCTCTACCAAAAAA